GTTTGTATTTTTGATTTTCTAACTTTCAGTTTGTAGATCTTTCACCTCCTTAGCTAGATTCATTCCTGAATATTTTATTTTTAATGCTATTGCAAATGGGATCATGTCTTTAGTTTCTTTTTCAGATAGTTCATGGTTAATTCGGAGAGCCTCGGTTGAGTTAGGATGTCTCTGTTTCCTGGAACTTTACTGATTTGTTCATTACTTCTGATGCTCTTTGGTGCGTCTTTAGGGAAATACACAAGGTCATGTCTGTGCAGACCGAGACGGCTTCTGCCTTTCTGAGCTCAAGTCTCACTTTCCTCCTCGTCTGATTGCTCTAGAAGGACTTCCAGCAGCAGGTCGACGAGAGGAGCTGAGCGTGGGCACCTTGTCCCTCATCTGGGCGGACGAGCTTTCACCGTGGAGTGGTTCTGACTTGTCCTCTGGCTGGTGTTGTGCTGAGGCCACCTGCCACCTCCCTGGGGCGCTGTCGGTGCTGCTTGTCATGCCCCATCTGGGGGCGTGTGGGTGTGGCCGAGGGAGGTGAGTTGTGATTGTGCCTTCCTCGTGGGCTTGAGGAGGTTGGTGTGGATGCCTGAGTCGTCCGCCCGTCCGGGGTTTCCTGGCTGGGATGACTGCGGCGGCCCTTCGCATCCTTGCCCGTTACTGCTCTACCGCCTTTCGTTTCTCCACGGCACGGTCTTGGTAGACGGATTTTTCCTTCTCTTCTAGGTCATGCAGTTTGTCCCCGTGAGATGCTTCACAGCACTCCCCGAGGGTCCTTTCTGTCCCTGGGGCACCCTACATTCCTAACTCTACTTATTTGTGAAGAGCTGAAACACTGGTTCACTCTGCCTTTCCACAGCACTGACTCCGGTTTCATTGACATCCCTGTCATCTTTCCAGTCTCCCTTCCATTTATTTCTGCTCTGGTGTGCACGTCCCTCTTCCTGCTCTCTGCTCGTCTTGTTCTGGTCTGTCCCTGGAGATGGGAAGCCGGGCTGCTGGAGATCTCTCAGTGTCGGCATTTATCACTAAGGGCTTCTCTTTTAGAAGTGTCTGGCACCTGTATCTGCTCAGGTTTGGGAAGTCGAGTTTACATTTGCACTGGTCTCAAGATTCTCTTTAAAATTCCCTTTCAAGTTTCTTCTTGGGTCCGTTGGTTTTCAGGAGTGTGTTAATTTCTGCATATTTGTGAATTTCCCCAAACCCCCTGTTATGGGTCGATTGCTTTGTGTTGGAAAAGGCACCTGCTGTGGTCTCAGTACCACACTTGTCAGGACTCATTTTGTGGCCAAGACGCGACCTGTCCTGAGGAAGGTCCCGTGTGGGCTTGAGAGGAGCCTTCTCCCTGTTGTTGGGGGAAATGTCATTCTCTGTGTGTCTGTAGGTCCGTCTGGTTTCAAGTGCTCTGCTTCCCTGTGGATTTTCTCTCTGGATCATCTGGGTTTTTTTTCCTGTACCCAGGACTGATCCAGGGCTGGCCCGGGGCTGAAGCTCCCCACTCCGTGCCGTGGGCCCGCTTCTCCCTTTGGCTCAATCACCAGCTGCTCTTTGTATGTAGGTGCTCCATGTTGGTGCTCCTGTAGTCACACTGCGTCTCTTGAGGAACTGACCTCCCGGAATCACTGTCGTCCTTCCTGTGACTTGGACTGAAACCTGTTCTCACGGATGTGAGTGGAGCCGCCCGGGCTGCCCCGTGGCTGTTTGCTCCCTTTGGTCCGCAAGGTGCACTTGGGTGCTTTAAGGAGAGGCCTTCAGCCACTCTGTCCTGTGGATGGGGACCCGGCCACTTGCTCATCACTGGTAGGAGGACCCGACTCTGCCCTGGGTGTCCTCTGACTATTCTGCAGTCCCCGCCGTCCCTTCCTCCTCTCTTCCTGGGTCATCGTTGATCTTCTGTAGTGTTACACTTTTATCCCTTTCCCTCTTCTTTTTTTTTTTTTTTTTTTGTGTCTTTTAGAATTTTGTCCTTGGTGAGAAGCCGGAGGGTCTCACCTATTAATAATAAAAAATAAACTACCTTACAGCCACAAAATTCTATTTTAAACTGACAGCCTTTAATTGCATGCAGAACTCCCCACGTCCACTCCCCACCCCGACCGACCCTTACTACGATCGATGTCACTCTATATTTTCTATAAAATGGCGTTTCCATGAGGACACACCGCAGCTCTAGTGTTCTTGTTTCACGCTATGTTCCTCCACTGCTGCGTGACCACTCTGACTGACCACATACGTGAGTGGACAGTGACGTAGATCCATGTCACTCAGCGTGATTTCAGTGTGAAGAATGGCATTTGGGATTCCTTGTGAGTCAGGAGTCACAGGGAGGGGCACCCCATCTCAGGCCTGGGAACATTTTCTCTCCCGTTCATTTCTGAGGAGCAGCTCTGCCAGGTAGGGCTTCCTGCTTCCTGTTTGGAGTTACTTTTTCCTTTCAGAACTCGAACATGCTGCCCCACCCCCTCCACCTGCCACGTCGGCCCCCCACTTCCCGGATGGAGGAGCCCCTTCCTGCTGCTTCTCCTTGGTCATGACGTGTCTCAGGACGCCCCTCATCGGGCTGATCTTGCTGGGAGTCCTTGGAGCGCCACGAATCTGGATGTTCGTATTCCCACAGAACGTGGCTAGTGTCCTGGCAGTGGGGCCCGTTCCTCCTGCCCGCAGGCCCCTGAGCCTGTGTCCCTCCCTGGGGGACGTCGACAGTCCCGTGTCCATAGGATCCTACAGATCTGCCCTTTGTGGCTTCTATTTCCCCTCCTTTTTTCTCTGACTTGCAGACCACCTGGGCTGCCCCTGTCTGAAGTTCCGGTGCCGGACCTGGGGTGGCTGCTGTGGTGGGTGGTGATTTCGAGACACTGTGCCGGTTCCTGGGGCTTGGCGTTCTTTCTCTGCAGCCCCCCCCTTCCAGTGGGTGAAACCTCCGGACTCTTCCACATTCCCTCATTTTCCATCGTCCCCAGGCACTGACTCCTTATGGGGACACTTCTCTTGCACCTGAAACCCTGGGCAGCCTACAACCCCTGGGCCTTAACAAGCACCAGGGAGGACTTTTTGTGGCTCTGAGGCGTCTGGGTCCCCTGGGGTCCCCGATCCAGCCTCACGCATCCCACCCCAGCCCCAGCTTGATGTTTACTGTGATGGTCACCGTGGCTTCTCAGTTCTCCACTTCCTTTTGGGCACACAGGGTTGAGCTCTGGGAGCTTAGTGTCTGACGTGGTGAAAAGGGGATTTCCCCAGCATTCGGGTGTGAGGGGAGGGTTTGTTTTAGCAGCCTACTGTGCTGTCGCCACCAGCTCCAACTAGACCTTGCCTGGCCCTTCCTCCTGTGAGCTCTCGGCTGGCCTGTCTGTCCTGCCCAGTCTGGGAGTGGAAAGGGGCTTGTGCTGGAAATCGGGGCGGTTCTGCTCATACTTGAGGCCACATCAAAGGAGGGAGATGTTGAGACTCACTGAAGTCTCACTTTGTGGGCTGAGTGATACATTTGTTCCTGTATTGGGGGCGGGGGTTCTTGCCCGGGAGGTGTCCCTGCATAGAGGGACAGCCTGCTGGGCAGTGACCTCCCCACCCTCCCCACCATGCCCGAGTCAGTGAGGCCCTCCTCGGCAGGCTCCAGCCTGGGTACCTGCCATGTGCCCAGGATCTCCTTTCCCAGCCTGCCCCCATCTCTGACAGCTCTGACATGTGCCCCGTCATCTGTCCTCAGTTTCCTGCAGGGTACATGCCCTTGTGACCCTCCCATGATTTCAGCTGTGACACAAGGTGGGGGAAGGTGGGTGTAGAGGGGAATCAGCCTCCATTCTGGATGTGGGGAGCTCTTGGGTCACGGTGATGTTGCTCCACGGAGGGCCTGTCCCCAGGTGGGACTCAGGCTGAGGGCCTGGAGGGAGCAGTGTGTCACGTGCATGTGTGCACTGGGGTGTGACGAGCGTGTTTGCATGGATGCGTGGTCAAGCATGTACGAGGGTGTGCGTGTGCCCATGCTGTGTGTGGGTATGTGCAAGCACAGGGGTGTGCCTGTGTGTCGTGTACATGGGTGTGTTCCAGTGCTTCATATGCACCCGGCATGTCACTGACATGTGCGTGTGCGTGTGTGTACCCGGGCACTCGTGCCTGCACGTGTCCATCACAGACACCACCTGGCCTGTCAGGATGGCCTTCAGGTGGCGCGGGGCGCTCCGGGAGCAGCTGAGGAGCTGGCCACTCTCTAGCTGTCAGTGTGGGCTGGTCAGGATGTCATGGCTCCCCGAAATCCCATGAGGGATGGAGAGGGCCTGGGGGCCTCTTCCCGGTCAGCCTCTTGGGTCACCAGGGTAGAGCCCGATGAGGCCGGCTGAGGTGGCCCCCTCCATCTGTGGCCCTGCACCAGGCGTCCATCCCATCTGGGCTCCTCTCTCTCACAGTGAGGACATACTCACCCCGAATCAGAGAGAACGTGCAGAAGCAGCGGAAGAGGGTGATGTTTCTAAAGGCCAAGACACTGACACCGCCCGGCCGGATGAAACACAGCAGTCCTGTCTGCCAACCCCAGTGAGCCTCGGCTGCCTGGGTCTGCGCGGGCTCCGCCAACCCTGAGGCTGACAGGGAAGAGGACTCCACCACCTGTATCCCAGGGGAGCTGCTGGGCCTCCCAGGACTCGAGGGCAGGTGGAGGAGGGCAGCCCACCACAGACCTGGCTGCTGTCAGTGTCTCCAGAGGCTTGTGCCGGGCCCTCAGGAGCTATGTCCCCTGGGAGATGCCCTCCCTGGGGGGTGTGTGGAGTGTGCCCCAGGGCCTGGTCCTCCAGAGCAGGGGTCTGCTCGTACACCGGTGTGGCCTAGGCTCCAGGGCCGTGTGGGAAGACCAGGCGGCTGCGGGGCTCACATAAAGTGCCCTGTTGGTGGCATGTGCTGGAGAGTGGTGCTTCTTTTGAGTGCCTCTGTGGTGGCTTCTCAGCCAAGGAGCCAGGGCCAGGGCACCCACAGGAACAGGGCACCCCCAAGCAGGGGCGGGCGGGCAGCTACAGCCTTCGGGACTACACAGGACCCCGTGCCTGGGGAGCAAGGGACAGACTGAACCACCAGAACACCCACTGGACAGTGAGGCCCCCGGCAGGAACTGGGACCTGCTAAGGGTGAGAGGACTGCACGCCACACCCAGAGGGGTGGACAGAGGTGGAAGGTGGGTGGGGCCTGCCTAGATCACCTGGAGCCCAGTTCTGCCTCTCCTACCCACACCCCACAAAGGGTGCTCAGCCAAGGACGGGGGTCTGGCCAGGGCCTGGCCATGCAGTAGCCCACGGCAGTACGGGGCCCCCCTCCCAGCAGAGCCTGACCCACGTCCCGCCGTGCACGCACGGGCACCAGCTCACACGCGCTCTGCAGGCTCAGAGCAGCACGAGACTTTGTCCTGTGTGGGTCTCCAGCCTTTTATTCATACCAGGACTCGACACATGTGACCTGGCAACCTGCTGGCACTGAGTGACCAGGGGCCTCGTGAGGAAGGACACAGCAGGCTGGGCCACTGCCCTGACCACTGGCTGCTCAGGGTTGCCCCTTCCAGAGAAGCATGTGGGGTAGTGCGGGGTGTCGCCCCTGGCCATCACGGGCAGTGTCAATGCTGCCTCCCAGGACTGGGGTCTGCTCCAGCCACCTCAGCCTGCATGGCATTTACGGGGCTCTTACAGGGCAGGGTCCCAAGGGCCTGACCCAACACGTCCAAGGACCAGCTTGAGTCTCCCACCCTATGCCAAGGGGCTGGACCAGCACCCAGAGCCTCCCCACGGTGCAGGTGGGAAGACCCCCGGCCCAGCAGCAGAGATGACAGAAGCACTGAGTGACCTTCTCCAGGCCCGTGTGGGTCGGAACGACTGTCCCTGGCTGTGGCAACTCGGTGTCCGCCCCTGTCGTCCTTCGCCATGCAGGGGCCCCTCTTACAGGACGCCAGTCCCTGCTCCAGGGCTTGCTGGCTTCTGGGCCTGATGCCCTCAGTGAGCTGGGCACACTCAGTCCAGGGCCACCGAAGGGCCCCAGGGTCCAAGCTGGGCTCCAGGAGGACTGAGGTGCAGGTCTCGGGGCAGGGAGAGAAGTGTTTGAATGTGCAGGTGCCGGAGAAGCCCTCGACGGTCAGGCTATGCCTGCCCCTGCCCCTGCTGCCCTGGCCTACAGCCCCAGGGCCATCCTGTCTGGGTGGGGTGGGGTAGGAATGGCTGGCTACTCCCCAGAAGTGGGGTTCCTCTTGCAGACCTGGCCCCAGAAGGCCTGCGTATG